AGGTACTCTTTTAATTTTTACTTATTAATAATTTCGAATTCCTGAACTTATATACTATTTTACTGGTTATAGTTGTTTAGAAGAAATTTTCGACTTTATATTATCATTAGAAGTAAAGTTTTTTATGAAATTTCGTAAGTGGCTGATCATAAATTAATAAATAGTACCGAATAGAAACGTACATTCTTTTGCAATACTCTTAACTGATTTAGACCAAAAAAAATAATATTTTTTTTTTTTAAAAAAAAATAAATCTAGATTGTGTGACAATAATTCAATTTCATTGGTTCAATCAATTGGATCTTAAATTCAAACTATACCGATACCGATACGCTTTCAAACTTCTAAAAATAAATGGCAGGAGCATTAGGTCCTCATGGTTTCCCTCAACCAGGAAGAGGTTACATCTTTATGAGTAAATTACTAGGAGGGTCAATGCTATTTTGTACGTAAATTTATTCAGTTAAATTATTGAATAATATAAAATTAATAATAGTCTAAATCTAATAGGGATGTTATATCGTGGAAAAAAAGACGGGGCTGTACTTTTGGTTAGTTATAAATTTATTTACTTTCAATACGTGATAAAATTTAATTATTAATACTTTTCGTTTAGGGTTTAAGACATCCTTGGGAACATCATGGTCATGGTCACCATGAAAATGGGCACGCCAGCAGTAATCATGGCTGATAAACTGAAAAAAAAAAAAAATCTGTTAAGCAGATTTTTCGACCCGGTCGGTAAATTTATTTTAAAATCAACTGGTCGATTTTAATAAAGGTTATCACGATATATAAGCTAACTTTCTATTTAATTGGATTAATTGAATCTCCATACGTATATTATACCATTATTTTATATCTATTTGCGTTTACCCATAAAAATTTTTTATCGAATCGATTTATACTTTTGCCAAATAAGAATTTATTCTTTCAAACAATTAATTTTCCATATATATAAAATTCATTAATTTCACTCTATTCGCGTTTAATGAATATCATTAAAACGAATAGGCAAATTCGTATATTTTTACCGTCACATAATATCTTATTGATTACAATAATAAAGATTAAAAATAGAGCCATAAAAAACACGATGGTATTAAATAATTGGGTTCAGATGGATAGATACTAAGAAGAATTAGCCAGTTAATCTAATTGACATATTCGCAGATATGGAATGTTGCTTGTTTGTTTTTATAAATCTTCAGAATTAATGAGGTTTTAGGCATGGTAAATTAATTATAGATCTATACGATATAATGTAATCAATAGCTTTATAATACACCTTTACCGGTAAATAAAAAATATTAGTTATATAATCTCTAACAATCACAAATATCAATAAAAAAGTCAACTAGGTAATCAAAAAGTTTGATCGGTATTATAAAAACTCGATGATTAAAAAAATCACAATAACTTTTGCCTACTTATAAAAATTTATATATTTATATCTTTTATTTATTATATAATTATAAATAATGTATACTGTATCGGTATATATTTTATCCTTTGGTTTTGACAGATTTTTTAAATTATATATTTTGATACTTTTTATTGATTACTTAATAAAATAATAATTAATTTTATACAATTTTATTAATAACAAAATTTAATTAATATTTTAAATATAGGTTTTTGTAAATCAAGTTATTTAAAAGTATCAGGTATATGTTTAGTTCATTAATTGACAAATTTAACAGCTAGCTAAATTTGAAAATATTTAAAGCAAAAAAAAAATAAGTATGAATTGCTTTGAAGGTTTGCTCTAAAATTAACTGAACTCTATAACGATAAGCATTCTAAGAGATTTAAGTTTATATTCTCTTGAACATAATAACCGACAAAGGATATTTTTTAATACTTGGTTTTTTTTGTTAGTAAATTGCTAAATAACAAAACCATATATAATTTAATAATTTATTATTGAAATACTAATTGAATTCGCTACGTATCAGTATAAATTTCAAAAACTCGTAGTAATAAAATTTGGCTATTTTTATTCTTTAAATTTCTTAACTAATTTTGATCTTGTGCAAATTAATGTTTTATTTGTATATAATAATTATATTAATCATTTACAAGTAATATTAAAGGTGAAAATACAACAAAACATGGTTATTTTAACCCTAAGTGGTCCACGCAAGGCTTCGCGCTACCTATCATCATTCTATTTTATATCTATTCAAATTCAAATTCAAATTCAAAAAAAAAAATGAAGATAATGTAGAATACAAAATTATGTTTGTCCAAAAAATAAGGCACCGAGTTTGTTTTATTGTTTAAATAAAATCAGTCATTTTCAGAAAATATAACTATTACTAATTAGTTTGAAGTGTTAATTATGACTAAATGCCAAATCCCCTTTTTCTAGGAGGCACGCCAGGTTCTCTACGGCCGGGTATTACAATTTTTGAACTTTTAGGAATAGTAGTTGCTTTACGTTGTAATTCTTTGGCTTCTTCCTCTTCCTTTTCTCGGGCAGTTTTCATTTGCATTTCCATAGTCATTCGGGCCATCTCTGCTCTATTAGCCGCACGTTTTTCCTGAAAATTATTAAAATATCATATGAATACATTATTTTATATTAAAAATTTGATATAGAATTGTGTCTTACTTTTTGCGTGAAATTCTTTTCTTTAATTGAATAAAACATGGGACTATAGAATCAAATTGTTAATACAACTCTAAATCATTCATGAATTAGCCTGACTGCGATTAAAGATTTTTTTTTAGAAAACTTACCCCATTTCAGCAAGCCAATACGGATCCACCGCAGTTACACATTGCATATATTCCTTTGATGTCATCACCAATTCATGATAAACAATATAATCTGGTGTATAACCAAGTCCATATAATGCACTCGTAGGATGAAGATGGCAGGGCATACCTGTACGACAATTAACATATTCACCAATT